CTCTGCACCACCGAACCAGGCTGACGTGCCCGCCGCCGGAGCGCGCGCGGGGCGAGTGTGTGTGCGGGAGTGTGTGCACACGCCTTGGGGGCTAGAGTGACACTGCAGTGGGCTTCTCCCTCCGCAGCCCTCCAGCGGCTCAGCCCCGACCTGCCCGCACGCATTTGCGAAGCTCGGCGTTTTCATCTGCCCGAGCCTCCTCCATCCTCCCCTCGGGGACCTCACTTTTCCTTGTACCCCGGGGGTTGCTCCCAGGCACCCCTCAACCGGTGCAAACATCCCAGCCGCCTCCAGTTCTCTCCTAAGCCACTGTTTTCCATTTGTCTTTCTCTGGGGTTCCTCCGCGAGCCAGTCCAGGGCTCCCCCATCCTTGGAAATTGTTTTTGTTGGACTGCTGTGCCGAGGTGTTGAAAGCTTGAGGACTTTATCATTTTGATTCTTTCCCTTTCCTCCCCATCTGGGCAACGGAGCAATGAAATTTCCAATCGAGACTCCAAGAAAACAGGTTAACTGGGATCCTAAAGGTTGGTATCTCCTACTTTTGGCCGCCCTCGCCCTGCCTGCCCTGCCTCCACCTCGGGCGTGTGCGCGCCTCCGCGAGTGGAAGCACTCTTGCTCCTGGCAGCGTGTGTCCTGAGGCAGAAAAATGCGCCTGGGAACAGCAGTAAGGGTGGGAGGAGGGTGGAGGCAGCGTGGGTTCCAAACCCAGATAGTGTCTGTCATTATCATATAGTCATTGTCCCTCCTGGATTGTTGCAAAATCTATTTAAAGATACATCAAGCTGGCTGTTTGGCTTGAAATTGCACCAAGTGTCGGTATTTGCTTTTGACTTTGTGTATGTGCGGGTCTGTGTGTGTCCTTTGTTTCTGGTGATCTTTGTCTCTCTGGCAGATGGGTGGGGTGCCTCCCCCTGGACCTGGGGCTGCTGCGCTGCCTGCTCAGGGTGTCCTCAATGGGAAAGGTTTCCTGGCAGCAAGTGGAGCTCAGATCTGCAGCAACAGTCCCTGGAGGTGGCCCTTCTTGTAGGGCGTGCGTAATAATGGAGCCCAAGGGGCCTTCTGAGTCTTCCCTCAGTCTTATTACCAAACCAGGCAGCTAGTTTGGCTCTGACCTGAGTAGAAGGAGGAGGGGGGAGTGGTTTGTGAACAGGGTGGGGCTGGAAAGGGCTGGGGAGGGGGCAGCCCAAGCAGTAGTGTCATTTACAAGCTAAGAATGTTGGACAATGTTTCCTCCAGGCAAGCGACTAAGTCAGATTTGCTGCGCCTAGCGCTGGCCACTGTGTCTGTAATTAGCATACAGATGCTAAGGCTCCTCTTGAGAGCATATGGGAGTGGGACAAGTTGAAAGCTAGTGTCCAGTTTTGACAAGAATGCTGTATTTAACATTTCTCTTATCTAAAGGCTGATTCTGGCTTGGACACACCTCTGCATATATTGGGGGTGAAATTTCTTTTTTAGATGTGTGTGCGCGTGTGTGTGAGAGTGTGTTTAGTGTTCTCTGCGAGTACTTTTTCTTTTCTTTTCTCCAGACTGGAAAGGAGGAAACCCACTCACTCCTTAAGTAAATGTCTTATGGATTGACTGGCTACTGAAGAGTGGAGAGATAGTGCCAATTTTTAACTCTGAGGCTGTTACACCTTAAATATGACCTACATCTTCTCTTTTGTCTCTAGATCTTCTATATTCCACTTTGGGAATATGGAAGTGTGCCTTGGTTTTTGTTTTGTTTTTGTTTGTTTTTTTCTAATTCCCTGCAAAACATATTCATTGAATACCTGCTACATAACAACTGCTGTCCCAGGTACTGGAAATACAGTTAGAATAACACAGACAACAGCTCTGCCTTCTTAGAGTTTATAGTGAGGGAGACAGACCTAAACCAATCATTGCACTGAGTAATGCATAATTATAAGCTTACTAGTGGTCCGGTGCACAAAATTCGTGCATGGGGGGGGGGGGGGGGTGTCCCTCAGCCCGGCCTGCCCCCTCTCCAATCTGGGACCCCTCAGGGGATGTCCGACTGCCGGTGTGGGAGCGGGCCTAAACCAGCAGTCAGATATCCCTCTCATAATCTGGGACCGCTGGCTCCTAACCACTCACCTGCCTGCCTGCCTGATCGCCCCTACCACTCTGCCTGCTGGCCTGCTTGCCCCTAACTGTCCCCCCACCAGCCTTCTCACCCCCAACTGCCCCCCCTGCCAACCCGATAGCCCCCAATTGCCCCCCTGCCAGCCTGTTCACCCCCAACTTCCCCCTGACCCTGCTGGCCTGATCACCCCCCAACTGCCCTCCCCTCCTGGCCTGATCGCCCCTAACTGCCTCTGCCTTGGCCCCACCACCATGGCTTTGTCCAGAAGGACATCCGGAAGGTCTCCTGGTCTAATTAGTATATTACCCTTTTATTAGTATAGATGTATGTTCCATGAAGGAGAGCAGCAGTGTTTTAAGAAAGTATCTGATAGAAGAGATTGACAAGAATCAGGGGAGGTGGGTGGTCAGGGAATGCATTCAGACACTTGTATTGAGACCTGGAGGATATGTAGGGATTAAATGACTAATGAGGAGGACTGTTGCAGAAAAGGAAACAGCAAGTGCAATGGCCCTGAGGCAGATGTGTATTTGAGGAACTGAAAGGAACTTTCTATGGCTTGAGCAGAAAGCAAGGGAGTGTGTGTTTTGAGGTATAACTGGGGGATCTGCAGGATCAGACCCCGAAGCCACCTGTTCTTGCAGGTAGGGTGTGATTGTGGCATGCATAAGGACCATAGTCATTATCTTAAGTCACTGAAGGGTTTCAAGTTTCAAAACAAGTGCTGTGTAGCTCTTGTGGATGTGAGGGACCAGATACCATGGTGTCAAGGGCGAGGGAAGGAGAAGTGGATGGAGTAGGGGGCTACCGAGGACACGAAATCTACAGGCTTTGAGTGAAGAATTTGTGGAAGTGGAGGAATTGGAATGACTGAGACAGCAGCCAGGGCAGGACCAGCCTTGAGGGAAAGCTCGTGAGTTCAGTCCAGGACCTGCTGAGTGAGAGATGTCCCTGTGTCCATCAAGAGGTGTGTCAAGTGGGCAGTTGTCTAAAGAGTCAGGTTGGGATCTTCAAGGAGCTTTGATAGGGAGGGCTGTGGGGCTGCCTCCATGAAGCTTGCCTTGGCTTTTAAACTACATTTCTATATGACTATTATTCTTTAGATATTTATGCCACAGTGATAAACACAGTTGAATCCCACATGTTAGAGCCTGACACAGTGAAGAAGCAAGCAAGTAGCATCTACAATCACAACCATTGATGCTAAAAGTGAAAAGACCCTAATAAAAATAACAGCATTTGATGAGCAATCATTGCATGCCAGATGTGTTCTGTACATTATTTCATACTAGAGGCCTGGTGCACGAATTCATGCATGGGTGGGGTCCAGCCAGCCCACCCCAATCTGGCTGATCGGCTGGCTGGAGGGAGGGGCCATGGGCAGTTGGCTGGCTGGCCCTACCCCCTGGTTAAACTCCCCTGGTCAGACTCCGGGTCGAACTCCCAGTCGAGGGGACAATTTGCATATTAGCCTTTTATTATATAGGATAATCATTTTCGTAATGCTTATCTGATGGTATAAGTATGATTGTCCCCATTTGACACTGGATTGCCATTAGGACACCCCTGAGCTGCTACCAGTAAGGTGCTCGGCTGTCATGCACAACTGTTCCTGAAGCTGGGGTGACAATAGTTTTCCCTAGCCAAAAGGGTGGAGGCAGAAGAAGAGTGGAAATGACGGTGACATATCTCACACCTGTATAGAACTATGTGCCAGACGTCGTATCGTTTTAAATCCTTTAAATAAATAAATAAATTATTAAAATTAATTATACAATAGAAGATTAATTTATTTCATCTTCTTTATTTAATCTCAGGTGGAAGATACTGTCCTTATTTTACAGTTGAGGGAACTGAGGAACAGAGAGGTTGAGTAACTTGCCCAAAGTTATAGAGATAATAGGTGGTGGGAATGGACTATACTATAGGCCCTTAAGCACTCTTTAAGTCTATCTCTTAAGTTGTTGGGACCTCTGGCCCTTGCCTTGTGAGGCTCCCAGAGTTCAGGGACTGGAGAAGCTTATTTCAAGGAGAAAAAGAAAAAGAGGGGAGAAAGAGGGGGAGGAAGAGATACTGGAGGAGGGGAAAGAGAAAGGAGAGGAGAAGGAGGAGAAGGAGGAGGGAGGGAGGCAGTGAATGAGCCTTTCCCACTAACCCCTCCAGCCAGATAGCATCTCTGCATCTTCCTCTGGTGGACCAGTCACTGGTCACTGGACAGACTTTGGGTCTGTTCTTTGGAGGTTTGCATCTACACAGACCAAGTGTGTTTAGCAGGACAAAGATAAAGGGGAACCTAGAACTATACCAGAAAAGTGAAGGGACAATTCACATTAAACAGACTGTAGGATTTGGGTATTCACAGATTTGAACCTTCAGGTGGAGGCGCTCACAGATTGTGGAGGAAAGTTGTAATTACGATGTTTTGCTTACAGCACCGTTACCTGACAATTTAATCGTTCAAAATGAAGGCGGATTGAGGACAGATTGGTTTTGATTGCACTTGGGTGAATTACGCAAAGCACCGTCAAGAGGTTTAGGTGTCAAATTAAGACCTAAAGGTGAAATGATTATTCTCTGGTGAGCTCTGGCCTCCCTCCTATTTGTAAAGCTAAACCTTTAACAAATGGCTCCTGTTTGTGTAGGACCAAACAAAAGTAGATTGACACTGAGTTTCAGCTTCCATAACAGAACTTATGTGTATTTTAAATTGCTGGGATCACTTGATAATTTTTCTGTTGAAAATTGGGATTGGTTTGCTGGCTTTATGTATGTTAAGGGCTTTAAAAAACACACAATAAAAATAGCAAACAATATTCCCATAGTTTGAGAGAAGCTGATAAATATGGCTTTAAAAACTCTTGATTTGGGGACAGAAGAATGAGTTGCAAGAAGTAGCTTCGCAGTAAGCTGTTAGACTTTGGGCTGCTCATTGAGCCTCTTTGGCCTTCACTCTCCTGCCATGCGCAAGGGGGACATTGGCCCTATTGGCCTCTTTGACCCACCTCTTCAACAAGCCCCCTGCATCTGACCTTTGGGCCACCTGGCTTCCTTTGTTCCTCAAATAGAGGACACTCGTTCCTGTCTCAGGGCCTGGCACTTGCACTTCCCATAGCTTACAATGCACGTTTGCATGACTGACTGCTTTCTGCCCTTTGAATCTCAGCTCAAATGCCAGCTCATTTGAGGACTTCCCTGTCCCCTCTGAAGACCTCTCCTCCCCTTCCCCAGCCCTGTCACTTATGTCAGCTGTTCGGTTGTCTTCCTGGCACTTATCCTGACCTGAAGCCATCCTGCTTACTCATGTGCCCTCACTAGCATGTGAGCTCCAAGAGCAGGAACTTTCCCTGTCATAACCCCAGTGCCCAGGGAAGTGCCTGGCACACAGTAGTCACTAACTCCGTTACCTTTTGCTGAATGGATGGACGCATGGAAGAA